GCCATGATCTGATAACATAAGTAGTGAAAATTCTACAGTGTATACAAAATTTTCGTGGAAGGCCAAGTACTCTTCTCACCGGTTGAGGTGAACAAGAATTATGATGCGTCAGAATTCGAGGAATTAGCCTGTGATCTTCGTATCCTTGTGCTTAAAGGACTCTTAACCTCTTGGCCAATCTTGAAACTGCGCCCGCCTGCTTTAAATGGTGACCTCGTTGATCGTGGTGTTGTTGTTGTTGTTGATCTCAGTGATCGTGTTGTTGTTGTTGATGTTGTTGATCTCGGTGATTGTGTTGGTGATGGTGACGGTCTTGGTGACTGCGTCGTCTGCGTTGCTGGTGATTGTTTTTGTGTTCGTGCTTTTGCATTCGGTCTTGCTGGTCGTGGTTTTGGTGCCCCAGTGCCTGTGCCATCAAATTAACATAATTTAGTTTAAAAGCTTTCAAGAATGTATTTAGAAAGCATATCTGAGTTTAAGAAGAGAACTCACCTGCACATTTTTCAACCTTTACATTTGTGGCTTTCGTGGCCGCTTTAACTTGACTTTCAGAGTTCTTGGAACACGCTGACTTTGTCTCAGAAATTGAATTTTTCTTGTCTCGAGTGTCGGAAGAACATGACTTCGTTTCAAAACCAGAAATCGTCCTTTCTGTAGTCCTGGAACCAGCTAACTTGGAATCAGGACTAGGAAGATTTTCTAACGAAGCCGTGGTTTTTATCCATCTTGAAGCAGGATTAGACATTTTCTCGTCGGGAACCTCAGAAGAAAGTGACATAAATTCAGAACTAGAAATTTTCTTCATTGGAGCCTCGGAATGAACTGACCTCGTATCAAATTGAGAAACTTTTTTACCCGGAATCTCTGTAAAAACTGATCTCATATCAAAAGAGACTGACTTCATATCAGAACACATAGACCTTGTTTCATTTGCTAACATAATTCCATCTACAGAAGCAGACTCATCCTTGTACATTGAGGCTGCATCACTACCTAGTTCTAAATGCTTATCTTTATTGTTCAAAATAGCCTTCTCTTTCTCTAATATTCTATAGGAAAACAATTGAAATGGGATTTGTGTGACAGATGTTTCATCATAACTCCTCTCTAACACAAACTTCCTTAGAAAGCCTGCCTCGATATCATAATAATCTGCAAGTGGCGATTGAAACTCAGACTGAGCATGTTCCGGGTTCATCACGAGGGACTTCTTGATGTAACGTAAAATTCGACATATGGATGAGAAACTTGGGCGCTGAGAAGGAGTTGGGTGCCAACATTTTTTGGTTAAGTTGACGATATATTTTGGATAACCTGATGGGAAGAGAGGCCTCTCTCCTGCTCTTATATTTCTTGTCATCTTGTCTCCTTGAAGATGTCCATCTTCAAAAGGAACTTTCCCGGTTAAAAGCTCAAAAAAAAGCATCCCAAAACTGTAAACATCTGCCTTCTCTGAATACTTGGAAGTAGAGGTACTTCCCTCTTCTTGTGCGGCCAGAACTTCTGGGGCGAACCAAATACAAGGGTCTGGTGCATGTTGATTTGGCGGCGGCAGTGGTGGTGGGAGTGAGTGTCGAGATGCATAACTTTTAACAGACGACAATCCAAAACCAGAAACTTTTACATGAAAATAACCTTCGGTTGAAGTCCTTGGTTTGAGGAAAATATTTGAAGGGTTTAATTCTCCATGATAAATCCTTTGTGAATGAAGAAATTCCATACCTCTTGCAATTTGAAGCATAAGATCAACCACAATAGGAAGAGAGAACGAACTCCGCCTCTTTGAGCCAAAAGTTTCCCTCATGTAGAGAGATAGATCCTTGCTTAGCAACTCCATAACAAGAAAGAATTCTTTCTTCTCATCATCAGAAAAGCCACAAAGATACTGCACAATGTTGGGATGGGACAGGGAAAGAAGATTAGCAATCTCGGAATTTAATGATTCATCAATCTCACCATAGAAATGCCTAACAGCAAAATTATCCCCCAACCATATAATTTCCTTGTACTGGCCTCCTCCACCTAATCTTCTCCTTACTTGGTAATCCTTCCCTCCTAACAAAGTTGAAGTAGGAAAGAGTTGCCCATTAGCAGGCTCTGGTCCATTTAGTTTCTTGAGTAACATATCTACAAGCCGCTGCTCATTCTTTGTCAGAACAACAGATCCCAAACTTCTCTTCTCCTTGAGTTCTTCAATAAGAAGCCATCTATCTTCTTTCCAAGCACTTTCAAAACGATTGCAAATTTCTCGGGGGATCAAATATTCCTTCCCAAATTTCAACTGGAAAAGTTTAGGGTCATTCCATTCCCTGTCATATTTTCTTGCAAGTGCTACTCTCCTCCTTTGCATTTCATCAGGATCAAGTCCTGAGATTTCACCAGCTGTTTCGATGGCCTCAATCACAGCCGGGAAATAGCAAAGCAAATTGTGAATATGAAATTCAACACAATCTTTATTCTGATGAAGAGCAATGGCTTTACCCCACCAATCTTTATTATCCAAGCATTGCCTAACATAGAGTTCTCCTTCTTTGATCACCTTATGAAGCTCTCTCAAGGGCTGTTCAAGAGCTTTCCACTTGGTGTTCTTCTCTTCTGATTTCAAGAAAAGCTTGATTCCCTCTGCAACTGTAGACAAGGCTAAATTGAAGATGTCTAGAAGTAAACAACACTGCCGTTGATTGATTCGGATGTCTTCTTTCAGCACCATGATAGCATTCAAACTTCCCATAACCTCGCCAACCTGCCTAAATTGCTCCATACGAGGCCCTGGAAAGATTAATTATCGATAGGGATACCCTGAAACCTCACCAGGTGCTGCCAAATCCTCAATATACAATACCAAATTCAAATCTTTAATCTTCAATCTATCTGCACCTTACCTCTGATGGTTCTTCTTGTACTTGAACTGGCCTTGGAGCTTGCCTTCAATTGATTGTTCGATCAAAGATCTAAAACAAATTGATAGATCATCAATAACAATAGCAAGACAACAGAACTATCTGGTATAACATCGGATAAATCTCTGTCTTTGCAACAACAATCACAAGTTCATAGCATCAACATACAGTATTTTTTCATCCAGATGTAACGAAACAAAGAGAAGTTAATATTTGTTTCATTTAACAAATAGATAAATCTGGTCAATGAACAAGAACAACCCACCTCTGTTTCGTATCAAAGAAAAAGAAACAACGAACCATCAAGATTGAAAAGGGAAAAAGAACAGAAAAATCAATAACCTGTTAACGCCAAATGAAGAATTGGAATATGGAACAAAGAAATTAACTTGGACCAAAAGCAGAAGGACACCTGATGGTTATATTCTCTGTAACTGACTTTTAATGAGTGCGTTGTTTTCTGAAGATGTTCAACAGACGAAGAAACCATTTTTCTTATTATGTTTTCCGTCAGCTTTGGTCAATTGAACAAGAATAAATTAAGAAACTGAAATTAGATTCAGCCATGGCCGTTGAACTAGTCCGGTTTCCTTGGCGTAACATATAAATATGTTCCCGCGGGTTTCGTCCTTTTTTCCGTTTTTAATAGAGTAAACGACATATTTTCGTTTTTAATAGAGTAAACAACATATTCCCACCAAGGTTTGATGAAATCTCAAGTTGATACCTTTAATTATATTTATTCCAGATTCTCATCCTTAAAATAATACTGATAGCAATTATTAGGGTATAGAAGGTGCAATTATCATAATATCCTTAACCCTAAATTAATACATTACGTTTTAACCCCTAAATTAATAGAATTATAACTTACCATTTTATTTTCAAATTATCTCAATAACACTCTCGATCACTGCACACCCTCTCGATTTTTTCCCGATCTAGACTGTTCCGATGATATCGAACCCCCTGGTCACCTCCATCACATTCCCCATAGTCTGTCGTCCAAAATCCCTCTGGTTCCTGATTCATTGGCCCCTCTAATCGCCAGCGTCATTAAACTTAGGGTTTCGTTGGATTCCGGTGGCGAAAATCCAATTGGACACCACCACTGCAACTAGCATCTCCAACTTTATAAAATCCCTATATCCCTAGCAACCGTTTAGTCACCGTTCGCCGGTCGAGAGTTCGTGTTCATTGGCCGCTTTTTGGAGAAGTGGTGGACAATAAACGATAAGTTGTAGTGGCTAGCAAGGTTAGGGGTTTTGTAGGGGAGGATGCGAGGAGTCAAATGGTGGTGGTGATTGGGGTTTTCACCGTTCAAAATAGTCGAAAATCGACAAAAACTAGTCGCATGTCGTGGTTGCCACGGCCAACGATCGGTGAGTGATAAGGGGTTGTCAAGGGTAAAGTTTTGTAAAGGAGAGGATGATGGTTCAAATGGGGGTGACAAGGGTGATTGTGGGTGGAAGAATCACTGGAAAAAGGGTGAAAAACGTCGAGGACATCGTCTATTAACGTGTGCCGAAAGACTGTTAGAGGCGGCAATCTACTAACGTGCGCCATCCATGCAAAATGACCCATTTATCCATTTATCATTATATCAAACACTTTTTCGTCACTTTAAGGATGAGAATCTGGAATAAATGTAACTAGAGGCACCAACTTAAGATTTCGTCAAACCTTGGGTGGGAATGTGTCGTTTACTCTTTTTAATATAATTAATTTAATTAATAACACTGTTTTGAAATACCGTTGACGTTAGGCTCTAATTGAAATGACAAACGACGTCGCTTAATTCTAAGGTGATAAATGATAATGCTTTGCCGGCTTAGCAATAGACCAAGTAGTAACACGTGGCAGCATCAGTATTATTTGGGTTAAAAATGTTTTATGCTTTTGGCTGGACGGCAAATGTGTGACGCTGACGGTGTTAATACTTAATACCCATAAACTGAAGAGAAATGGAGTTTGGTATTACGTTTACATTAACTGATTAACTTAATTAATCAATATTAACTTAATTAATCAACATAAACCAAATCTTAACTGATTAGTTGTTTAATATAAGAAGGTTCGGTTTGGTCAACGAAAATTACTAAAATTAAAGCCCAATTTATGATTGGATCGAACCCATATTCATGTGACCCAGGCTGAAATGGCCCAACCCGACTTTCAGGCCCATTATTCGAAGTTACAGATCATAAATTTAAATCCATAGCACACCATCAGTGACCTGACTCCGGAAGCTAAGCGAGTGAAATCAATCAAATGAAAGCCTAACTGTGAAACACGATGCAGTGGTACTTCGTCGCGACACTTCTCACTATTCTCACTAGTTCTCAGGTCTGATTCTAACAACTGCTTTCTTCTATAACAATCTTTTCACGTTAACATACGCGTTGGATCTCTTTCATTTTCTGCTGTTTTTTTCCTTTGCTTTCAAGTTTAAATCCGAGAATTACAAGATATGGATACTGAATGTGTTTGCTTGATCTGAAAGAAAATTAAATTTGTCAATGCCGCTGTTAAGTCTCTGTCTTTGATATCACTGTCACTAATTATTATGATACAGCTGAGCTAACTTGTTAATTGACAGTGATTTGATTAATTGGAATTATGTTTGATTTGATATTTTGTGGTGAATTCAATTAGCTTTTGCAAGATTTACCTGAATGTTGTTGTTGATTGTAAGAGTTGTGGTTGAACTTTGTTTCCTGAAAATGTGGCTGAAATTCTTAAGTAATTAAGGTGTGAAACGAAACATGTATACTGTTAGTTGTACATTTGCTTTGTGTGAGTTTGGGCCTGAGCATTTCATGTTTTTCAACTTCTTTAATAGAAATCTACAAGAAATAAAACACTAGAGAAGAAGAAAATTGGAGATTAATCTAAATTTTATCGATTGTACTAAATTTTTGAACTTCTTTAACTTGCATGCTAAAAGAGGGCAAAAAGGATAAAAGTAATTCTTTCTTATTATTGTATGAAACTCAATCCTAGTTATAGTATAATATTTTAATAAATGACACTTCGGAAAATGTTTTGCAATCTATTACATATGTATTATTGTAAACATAAACTATTTCTTTTACTTTATTGCCTCATCAAGTTTTCTTCCATTCATTAATCTGCCTCTTTACAGTAAGCTTTTCTGAGAACTCAGTGATAAGATTGTGCGCTGCATTCATTGTTGGGCTTTTGTTTTTTTTTTTTTCCCTAAACGAAAAGTCATAGTCCTTTGTACGGATTTCGTTCAACTCATTTTCTTGAGTGACTTTGATGGTTATTGATAGGGAGGAGTCGTAAGGGCTTCTTTCTCATTATAATGTTTTGATTGAAGTTGGCAGCATTGATTTCTAGATCTGAACTTGATTTCTTTTCTAAAACTGTTGAAAATTTGGAAATTCACGTTTCTTTTTATTGTGTAGGGGATTTTGACTACTCTCTCTCAAAGTAATGGAGGGTATAAGTATGATTATGCTACAGTTCCATTTCTTGCTGAATTTTTCAAGGTATTTTTCATTCAATGACTTTGTTAGCTTGTTGATATTTGTCCATTTTCCTTATTGATTAACCACGGCAGAAATGAATGATTTTCTGAAAATTTATATTTTCTATGCTGAATAGTTGCTGATATCTTTTATGTTTTTTCTCTTACCATTTAACCTGCAGTTGGTGGTTTCTAGTTTTCTTCTTTGGAGAGAGATCCGGACATCTTCTCCAAGGATGACTACAGACTGGAAAAGTGTCCGCTTATTTCCCATTCCGTCAATCATATATCTGATTCACAATAATGTTCAATTTGCTACACTGACTTATGTTGACACTTCCACTTATCAGATCATGGGTAATCTTAAGATTGTCACAACTGGCATATTATTCAGGTTCATACTTTGACTTTTCAAAGTTGTAAAAATATTAATGCCTTTGTTTTTATGGCTTCATTCTATCAGTAATTCTTTTGATTTCAGACTTTTTTAATATTATTTAGATTGAATTTAATTAAGAGTTGTCTTATTTAATTGATAAGACTTATCTTCTTCTTCTTCTTCCTTTTTTTAATTTTAATTTAGGCTATTCTTGAGGAGAAAACTCTCTAATCTCCAGTGGATGGCTGTTGTGCTATTAGCTGTTGGAACAACCACAAGCCAGGTGATATTTTATAACAGTTCTATATGTGGTGTTGCCTTTTTGTTGATGCCTATGTCTACTGTGTTCCGGTACATTACCATGGTCTTGTGGTTAAAAATTTATATAATATGAAATTGTTAGAGGGGCTGTATGAAACACTATGAAGAATTTCGGTTTCATCTATCTCCTTCTGTTGTAGCTATATGAACTTAACCACAGATCCCTGATTATAATTGCAATTGTTTTTCATACGACTTTGTGATTAGGTGTACTTTGTTTTATACTAGGTTAAAGGTTGTGGAGAAGCTTCATGCGATTCTTTATTTTCAGCACCAATCCAAGGGTATACGTTGGGTATCCTATCTGCTTGTCTATCAGCATTAGCCGGTGTTTATACAGAATTTCTTATGAAGAAGAATAATGATAGCTTGTATTGGCAGAATGTAGAATTGTATACGTAGGTATCTCCACATTGTCTTGCTTTTTTTATATATATTATCAATTGGTTACTATCCCGATTCATTATGAGTGGACAATGTCAAATTTTACCTAGCTATCTTTTGTTATTGTAATTACAAAAATTGTAGGCCTGTTGTGCTTTTGTAATATTATAATTTTTTGCTAGTGAAAATCTATTTGCCTTCTTTTTAGAATCTTGTATAGTGAGATGAATAATTATTAGCTACCCTTATAGCAGCTTCTTAAAACTCTTGAGGGACATTTGTGGTGATACAGGATTATCCTATTGTGAGATAGGTGCTTAGATTATACATTGATTGTATCATATGCCTTCACTGTAAAAACTTTGTTGATTACAATGGTGATATATGGGCATTTTTCCTCCTTTCAGGTTTGGTTCTATTTTTAATATGTTCCGGC